CACCCTCTTCTGCTATGGTCGCTCATTGGCTGAGTCTGACAGAAAGTCCCTGGTCTGGTACCAGACGTCCATACAGCCAACCCAGGGATCTAGTCCATGCAAATCAGCCCTCCAGGGTACAGAGTAGGGTGAAAGGGTGGAGAATGGATATGTAGGGGGAAAATGAAGACATTAGTTTAGAATCCATTTTGCTATTGTTTTCTAAAAAAGCCATATTATTTGAACTTTTCTACATCCACTTCTTTCTGCAATACTTGGAAGATATCTTACCAAATTAACCAGCATAGTTTCCATTTATTCTTTTTAAAAAGAATTTTATTTATTTATGTATACAAGATGTGGGGTGTAGGCCACAGGTGAGGGGCGGGGGTGGGGTGGGGTGAAAGGAACCACCAGAGACAGAGTGTGCAACAGAACAGGTGGATCTACTGAAATACACTGCTGAGAGGAGCAGTGGGTGAGACAGGAAAGGTCTGCTGTGTCATGCGGGTCAGCTCCCTGGCCGGGGCTGCAGATAGCTTGATAGTGTTGAGGCTTAACCCCTTGCACCACCAAGAAGGCCCCATTTATTCTTTTTAATGAGTGCATAATATCTCACGATGTGACAAATTCCAAAATTCATTTTTTTTCTTTTAGAACAACACTGCAATATGTGTATACATATGCGTGTCTGTAAGCATAGATGCATGTTGTATATGTGAGTATACATAGCTACATAAGTACACTAGTGCTTTTAAATATATGCTTTTTATTTTAATAGGTTTTACCAAATTGCTTTCCACAAGGTTCTAACTTTTCACAATAACAAAGTACATGAGAACACTTCTGCTCTCATCCACACCAGAAGTAGGTATTATAGTATTGTTATTTTTTTCTAGTTTTCTGGTAAATTGATATCATATTTTACTTAACTGATATATTCCTATTAACTTGATATTATATGAATTTAATATATTAAAATATATTCAATGAACTTCAACATATTTTCATTGGCTACGTGGGGAACTATCTGGACCTTGCCACCCACTGGATGCTCGTTGGTAGCCCATGGAAGGATTATGATTCTCTTTCTGAGACTTGATTCCAGCTGACCATGAGTGTCCATACCTCTGTTCCCTTCTGTAGTGGGCTTATTTTTCCAGTGGTGACTTATGTTTCTGATGAGCCAGGGAAGCTGAGGAGCTTATTTGCTTTGACATGAGAATTGACTTTCTGCTTGGAGTTCAATGTAAACTAGTTTCCCTTCTGATCAACATCATAACAGCTACCTCTGGAAGCAGTAGCTCTGCAGCGTAATTCACTTGCAGTTTCTTCTCTTATTCACAACTTGTAGGCTGTAGAACAATTTTTAATCCTTCAGGGATTCCTCATTTGGAATCCTACAGAAAAGAAGAAATGTTATGTGATGAGCTATTGGGACAACTGCTGGACTTCTGTCAAGAAGCTGAGAATCCACCTGAGGATTTTATTAAAATGCAGGTTCCAATTCAGTCAGCTAAAGAAGGGTCTGAGATTCTGAATTTCTAATAAACCCCAAGGGGTACAGATGCTGCTTATTTAGTGACTCCCCAACTTAGAAGAGCCACAGGATGGATAACAGAGATGTCAGTAAGATTCAGCAGTGCAGGAGCAGACTAGGGTGTCATATCATTAGTCAGTGGAAAGTAAGAATTAATTGCTCTGCCAGAGATCAAAGCTTCTGGAATCAAGCTGACTTGTGCTCGTCTTTTGTCCCCAGAAGGAACATTGTGTTGATGGTGTCCGTTTACTTGTCTTTCCTCCAGACCCTCAGCTCCTCTAGCCAGAGGCTGTGTATGGCTCATCTGTGTGTCCCTGCCTGGCACAGATATCTGCCAGTGACAAGTGGCAGCGTTGCACCATGAAGCAGACGTGTATGAAACCCAGAGTCCTCGAGCTTCCCTGTGCACATCAAAGGCAGCGGCAAAGTGCTCAGCTCTGTGCCCAGAGCAGAGACCCTGGGCTAAGCTTCTACTGGCGCAGGGCAGAGGGACTTAGTAAATCACTGAGGAACTGGTCTTCAAAGTAATTCATGGCAATCAACCTTGAAGCAGAGAAAGCTTATCCTCTAAGGGGTAAAAGAAAGCAAGACAACAGCACACATGTTCTGGAACAGCATGGAGTAGCAAGGCTCTGCACCCCTGAGCACCGCTGAACTCGGAGATGAATGCAATACCCAGGGCCTGGCTTCACACAGTGCGCAGAGAAGCCATCACAGGATTACAAATTATCACAACCATATCTAGAATGGACCAGGTCTTGTGGAAGGATCTAGCACCTTCGATACATGATCTCATTGCATTTTATCTGCACCACAATGCACGGCAGTGGGAGACAGGTAGATGAGAACAGTGAGGCTTAGAGATGAAAAGCAACTTAGGCAAATCGCACAGCAAATTTAGGTCAGAATCAGAGTTTATATTAAGGCCCATGTGATTTATTTTTGTTTCTGTTCAACAGAAGCAATTCAGAGTGTATTACCAGGCTCCTGTCACTGGAAGTCAAGTTGCTAATGCACTGCATGTGCAAAGCAGGCTTTGAGTAGACAGAACCACCTCCTCCCTTTTCTCCTTCATTTTTTTAAAGATTTTTTTTATTTATTTATGTATATAAGATCTGTGGTGCAGGCCAGGAGTGCAGGGGGTGATTCACCAGAGACAGAGTGGGGAGCAGCATAGGCAGATCCACTGAAATACACTGCTGAGGGGAGCAGCGGACAAGCCAGGAGAGGTCTGCTGCGCCATGTGGGTAGCTCCCTCGCCGGGGATTGAACTCATGCTGCAGTGGCTGTGGATAGCTTCATAGTGCTGAGACTTTAACCCCTATGCCACCAGGGAGGCCCTCTCCTCCATTTTTGAATAAAAGTCAAACATCTTAGAGTTGTTCTATCTATATATTCACATGAGAGAGAAAGAGAGACATCAACAGAGAGAGAGGCAGGATGGACTAATGGGACATTTCATAGCCATACTCTTTTCTTGAGGGAAAAAACCCATTATCAGATTGGTTTACACACAGTTGCCTCATCTGAACTTACTTATGTAGCTAAAACTAGAGTTCTCAGCTCCTTCACAAAGGGGTAACGACTGTGCCCCGTACCCTCTGTGTGTGTGTGTGCGTGTGAGAGAGAGAGAGAGAGAGAGAGAGAGAGAGAGAGAGAGAGAGACACGACAGAGACAGAGAACCAGAGAACTTTCTGGGAGCTTTAGAGAAACATTACTTAGTGATAATAAAACACTGAATAAGTGAAGAAACTTCTTTGTTTTCTAACATTTGTAAAGAAACTTGAACATATACATTTCCTCAGGGCTGTGTGGGCGCAGCAGCTCCTCCTGCCACATTAACCATTAGCTGCCCTGCCTAGGATCTAGGCCAATGTGGGTTGAAAGAAGAGGTTAACCATTAACTTCCAGTGACAGAGCCTTAAATGACAATGGCATCCCTGCAAGGTGCAGAATTTGCAAATTGAGTTTCCTGAGAACCGCCCTTTTGTCTGCCCCTGAGTCCTGCTGGGGGGTTGGGGACAGAAGGCACTCTCAGCCTTCTGGGCCCTTTATAAATTTCTTCTGCCTTGTGAATCTTTGGCCCAGCCAGTGATGGAGCAGACTCCCTGGAGGCCACCCCCATGCTCTTCCCTTATCTTTCCCCAACAAGGCTGGGTAACCAGGGCGACGCGAGGACCTGTGGGAGGAACAATGCCCGCCTGGTGTTTTGTTCCATCATTGAGTTCCACTCGGTGGCAAAAACCTCTACCTTCAAACAGTGTAGTGGGAGCTATCAAGTCCCTGCAAGCTGAAGGCAACTCTGGGGAGGAGGAAGAGAGGCTGGTGACTCAGAGAGAGGCTGCGTCCCTGCTCAGAATCACCGAGCTGAGGAAATGATCTGATTTTAAAGTTACTGATAAATTCTTTCCATTTAATCTTTAGTTAAAGAACAATGTTAATTAGCTGGGACTATCGCATGTAATTATCTTAACACAGGATGGGTATTAAATGCTGATAAGGCCAATCTCAAAGGCAATAGTGGGTATTGTTAGTTTCAAGTATATTATTTAAACCTAGCAGAGGTGAACACGGTGAAATAAGAAATAGTGTTAGTCTTGGACACTACACTGTTGTCCATACTCCAGATTGAACCTGGGAGTTGAACTGATACTCATGAGGACCTCTACAGGCTCTTGGTGCGTGACCCTTGGTGTTCCTCTACATCAAGATGGAATTTTTTTAAACGTGCACAATTTCATTAACTCTATCCACCAACCCATGAATCAGTCAAGGTTTACTGAAGAACTGCCATCTTCTCATTATGGACAATACACAAAAAATACAAGATATGGTCCTGCTTCCCCTTAAAGAGATTATAATCAATGTGTATGAGTGTGTGAAAATCTTAATCAGAGGTACCTAGAAAACTATGGAATGATTTTAACTTTGACTTTGTTTCAACAACTTTTCCCCTTGATCCCCACCAGCACTTAGAACATGGTTCTCAATAATAGAAATTAAAACTCTCCCTAACTCTGGAACAGTCTATTTCAAATATGACTTGAGTTTATGTTTGGAAATCATGGCAATCATGGCAGAATTAAGTTGCAAAATGATTCCAAAGGTCGTAATAATGGGCTAAATCCTAACAAGTTCAACAGGATGAAATGGTGGTGGTGGGGTGGGGGTGGTTTACATTCCAGAGGACTGATGAGCTGCCAAGCTCTATGAGGCCACAAACAAGTGTGTCTCCTGCATCTGGAGTCAGTGTCACCAGTGCTCAGGATAGCGAGTTGCAAATATTTGTTACATGAATGACCTGAGCGAGTTACCCAGCTGGTGAGTAAGAAAGGCTAAGACTATTTTCACAGTGGTTAATTCTGGAGGCACAGCAAGGGGAAATGCTTGTGGGTGAATAGAAGTGAACAGAAAAAGACACACTGAAGGGAAAGTCTTAGAAGGGGGACTTTCACAAACTTCACCATTTTTCCATTAATAGGTTGACTTATTTTGAAGTGAAACCCACTGCTGGGTGAAAAACTTAATTTGTTGGCCCAGAACTAGCATTTTCTAAAATGGAAGGAAAGATAGAGGAAGGCATACACCAGCATCTCAGGTATAAAGGGTAAGCATTGGGCCTCCGTGGTGACTCAAGGGGTTAAGTCTCAGCACTATGAAGCAATCTGCAGCCACTGCAGCACAAGTTCGATTCCCCACCAGGGAAGTAACCTACATGCCACTGCAGACCTCTCCTGTCTCACCCACTGCTCCTCTCAGTGTATTTCAGTAGATCCACATGTTCTGCCCCCCTCTCTGTCTCGGGTGAGTCCTCTTACCCCCCGCACCACTGGCCTGCACCCCAGCTCTTGTATGCAAAAATAAATTCAAAAATTAGATAAATGGTAGGCATTCTTCCTCTAAACTTTCATTTCTATCACATGCATCTGCACTGTGCATATCTATCTATCTATCTGTTTATCTATCTATCTATCTATCTATCTATCCACACCACACACAAACTGTATATGTGAGTATATATCATGCACATATATAAATGTGTGTGTGATATATTGCAATGTGCATGAACAGTTGTTTCTCTCAAAGGAGACTTGGTCGTTGGCTAGGAAATAGGGAGCAGTTAAACAAAGGAACAAGTGGGGAGCTGGGAGTAATTTGGTCTGGCTACAGGATGGGGCCCGAGGGAGGGCAGTAGGAGGTGAGCTAGAGGGGCTGGCCGCTGCAGACAATGATGAAGGATAGAATGCTAAGCTAAGGAATGTGTGCTTTTTGCTGAGGAAAAGGAAACCGACCGGTTTTAGGAAAGATAGTAAGGGATGGCCAGGAGAGTAGGAAGACAGGTCAGAGCTGCTACTAAATCAAGGGAGAATTGACTTTCACACAGAGGGTTGAGGTTGTGCTCAGACGCAATAATAACAAACGTGAAAGTCACACTGAGTGATCTTTGTTTCTTGTGGGAGGAAGAAGAGAGACCAAGGTAATACAACAAAATGTATCTTACACATTTATACATTTCCCGGGGAAACCCACGTGCATATTAGACCTGGGACTTGGGGGACGATGAAGGAGACGCTTGAAAGAGACAAGAGACGTGGGTGAGAGACCCATGGGGAGGCCAACAATCGCAGCCTTTGTTTTGACTTGTACTTTGATTTTATTCTTCTCCTTCTAGACTTGCCTGGCCCTCTGCCCCTTTCCAGTGGTTCCCTGCCAGAAGGTGCCTTAGACTTGTGGCAATTCAGTGGCCCTGCTGCAGGCCAATTCTGCTTGGCTGGACATCTGCCCACGAGGGGATGGGTAACTTTAGGAATCTCATGGGGAAACCATTTTAACTATATTCTTTTTATTCTTTTCTATTGCACACTAATTGTGTTAAAGTTCTTTTCCTTGAAGTTCTTATGCACTAAGAGTATATTTTGTCTTTATGCAGTAGATAGCAGATCCCATTGAGAGCACGTATGTTTGGGCATCCTGGGGTACCCCTTATTCTTCCCACTAACTATGAAATATAAATCAAATAAAATTTTCATGACACAATATTTATGGTGACCATATGCAATGCATTCTGCTGTTTTCTTTCTGTTCTATTTATTTACCTTTAATATTCCAGTTGAGATCCACTAAAGGATTTCATGCTGAAGCCGTGGCTGCTGACCAAATATTTGAGAACTATTGCATCAGCTGACACTGATTCTATCGGAATGAAGAATACAGAAACCAGAGCCAATTCTCCTGCTACCAAGAAAGCCATATTTTCTGCACGTGTGTCTGTTTTTACATATTCTTTAAGGTAATATGAATTTTGCAAGCCAAGATGATAACATTAATGTATGTAGGTAAATAAATTAATGTACAAATTCTATTCAGTCTCCACTTCAACTCTCACACCTTTTCTAGAATATATCTTAAACATACTAGTAGATTTCAAATGACTTGATGAAACAACCTGTCTTTAAATGTGTAGAAGCCATGTCTACCACAAAGGCTTTGCAGAGCTGTGGAGGTGTGGGGGACCAGGGGTGGGGGTGGGGAAGGAGAGCATCATGTGGAGACAGAGACTTCACTGTAGAAAACGAAAAACAAAACAATCTCAGTTTCCAAAGAAAGCCACGTGTGATTTTTCTGTTTCAGAAAGTAGAATTCAGAGAATACACACCAACTGGCTCGCTAAGGTAAGAATCAGAACATATTTGTAAAAGTTTGGGGATGCATATGCATGTTTTCTGTCTTAAGGGTTGAAATGTTTCAAAAACTACAGTTTAGGGCCTCCCCGGTGGCGCAGCGGTTGAGTGCTGGGTTGCGAAGCTGCCGGCGACCTCTGCGGCGCCGGTTCGATCCCCGGCTGCTCCCCGGCCACCGGAGGCGGGTCCCACATGGTGCGCAGACCTCTCCTGCCGCCCGCTGCTCCCCTCAGCAGTGTGCTTCGGTCTTTCTGCCTGCTCTGCTCCCCGCTCTGGCTCTGGTGAATTCTCTCACCCTCCCGCGCTTCTGACTGTACCCAGTGCTTCTATAAACAAAACAAACAAACAAACAAATAAATAAATAAAACATGCCTCTATTAAAAAAAAAAACAAAACTACAGTTTAAAATAATCACTTAGCTCCCTATTAAGAATTTTGCAAACAATGAGATCTTTTCTTAAGGTGTTGTACACCCACCTGTGGGATTTTCTATGTGGGAAAAAATACCTTGAACAATTGTCTATATTCTGTTAAGTTTTTTTAAAATAAAATTTTGGCAGAGTCCTGGATGGAATTATTTTCTTGGTTTTTAATCCTGACAAAATCTAATGATCACATATAACTGAACAATTTGATGGTTGTAAACCTTATACAAAGATCTTGTGGTTTTTCATTACAACTTCATTAATTGAAGAATGTTTGCTTTGTCTGAGAGCATTCTGAAAGTTTTTAGAAAAGCAAGTTTTGGTTTTGCCTGCAGTATGCTTGTTTCCTAATGTCCCTCAGAATTGAGTGCTAATGAAATGTAAACTGTTTGTGGACAGAATGGGACAGGCTCAAGAGAAAACTGAACTCTTACCTGACTTCTATGCTAGAGAAGGATTAAGCAACACATCATCGCTTCTGAAAAACTTGCTGACTAAACACACCCAGCCAAGCAGGCCTTCCGCAGGGAGCCAGACTCTTCTGCTCCCAGGTGTCAGTCCCATGCTGACACAGATGGTGACAGATTGGCTTGCTCTTGACCTTAGTGAAGCCAGTGGCACTTGGTATCACTTTAAGTGAGAAACCCTTTCTTTTTCCCATTCCTTGACTTCATGAGGGGTTCCCTCCACCACTCTCCAAACCTCTCTGTTCTTCATTCATTTTGCCCCTGGGAAGCTGGATCAATTTACAAACTTGGGTTGGTTGACCCAGGTTAGTTTCTGTCTGGGAAAAATATGCCTACTTCTGCTCACCAGCCTCTCTGTCCCTATGCTTTTTGGGACTGAATGGTTAAGTATTGGCAAAATTATAAGTTACAATTTTAATTTTGCTAATAAACCTTAAGTTCAGTTCTTCAACTGAACTCCTATCATTATAAAAGTGATATTCTGACTTCAGTATTTTGTTCTCTGCTTTATTTTTAACTTGTTTGGAACCTAAGTAGGAAAGAGGGGCTCTAATTATTGATCCCTCTTTTTAGACTGTAATAATCTAATTACATCATTGAATTAAATTCAATAGTACTCAAGCTGATGAAAATTTTTAGAGTTGCTCATTCAACTGAATTGAATGCTTTGGAAAGACTTGACACGTGCTACTGATTCAAGTTTGAGCAGATCAGCTGTAAAATTCCATTACAAAATTATAAAATTCTGGAATTCTTCGTTCATATTACTTCTCTACTATCTTCAAATTCTCAAATTCTCATCTGGGCAAATTAAAATGGGAACTCATAAATGACACGTTAATAGTGTGCTTTTCAGCAGACAGACAGATTTCTAATCAACTTACCAGGCAGAATGAAAAAGGCTTTGACCCTACATTAAAGAAGGACAATGGGGTCCTACCTGGTAGTCTAGGGGTTAAGTCTCAGCACTGTCACCTCTGTGGCCTGAGTTCGGTCCCTAGCCAGGGGGATAACCCACATGGCACAGCAGACCTCTCCCGTCTCTCCCCTCAGCAGTGTATTTCAGTAGATCCACCTGTTCTGCTCCCCACTCTGTCTCTGGTGAATCCTCTCACCCCCCAACCTCTGGCCTACACTCCAGTTCTTCTACTCAAAAATAATTAAATCAGTCTTAAAAAAAGGATATAAGGTCCAAATATATATGTATTAAGTCAAACAAAATGTTTAAGGTATTTATATTTTAAAAGTGTCTCTTTAATCAGCTTTAAAAAAAAATATATATTTTCTACCAGAAAACTTCTACCTTAGTTCCTTGTGTCAAGGTTTTTGGGGAATGGGAGGAGCTGGAAATCTTTGGAGAATCCAGTGAAACCTCCACCGCTCCCATCTCTAGGACCCACTTCCACACAGAGCAACAGCTCAGTTTCCACAAAGCCTGTCTTTGACTCCCACCCCTATGTGCTGTGTGGTGCTGGACTAACAGTTGCCACCATTGCAGGATAGTCATCAGATAAATTATGATTTGGGGTTTAAGATGTAGGAATTTGTTACCCACTTTATCCTGATCTCATGTCGATAAATCCAGAGGACTATCTGATATTCAGGCACCATAATTTAAGAGGTATAGTCAAAACCACTTTGCCTCAGTTTCTTCATCTGTAGAATGATGATAACAGAATCCAGCACACAGGTCATCATAGGATTAATAAAGCGTAGGGCTTAGAAAAGTGCCAGGTATGCAGTGAGCATTATACATGGCTTAGTTGTTAATGTAATTGCTATTATTACTATCATTATTTTCATCATTATTATAATTGGTAAAAATTGAAGACAAGTCCAACTAAGAATCCAAATCCAATTAGTGTCTCAAAGTGAGCAAAAATCATGCCCTGGATTAACGCTGAACACAGACTGAACAGACAGGGGGTTAGGGGTTGAACACAGACATACTTGTACTGAACCCTATCACTCCAGAAATAAATAATCAGAAGACACACACACATGCACACCAAGGCAAGCAAGTTCTCAGTGGTCTGGAGAAACTTTAGTCTGTCGACACCAATTCTGATTTTAAAAATAAAATTACTTACAATAATGAGAGTAAGATCAATCAAGCATCTTCAGGGGCAATGCATAAGCTAGCCTTTTTACAGACATTACCTCACTGAATGTAATTTTATTACTGGGCAGTCAGGGGCACAAAAACTGGACAAGGACAGTGCCCAAATAGTTCATAGGTCACTGAGTTTTTCACCCACAAGCACAATTACAAGACCACTCAGATTCAGGGAACAACAATAATGGGATTTACTTAACAAAGAAAAACAGAGAGTCACTGAGGCCACAAGTGGCCGGTTATCTCACCTCAGATATTGTCCAGTGTTAAGAAGTCCTAAACCAAAATGCTTCCAAGAAGGCGACTTTCCACTACTGATGATGTGGAACAGGAATCCCGAACAAAAGGACCAAGATGGCATCTTCCTGCCAATAAAGGCCTGGAGCTCGAGGCAGCCAGAGATAACAGGCCTGGATCCAGGATAGAAGTCACCAAGAGAGCTGGAGACCTTCACCTGAGATGTGCCTGAGGCAGCAACACCATATCAGACAAGCAGCCCTGGAAACAGCTGCGGCTACAGCCAAACATGCTGACAAACAGCCCACATTCCCACGGCTCAACGGGTGCCCAGCTCTGGCCCTCGCCTTCCCTCTGGGCTGTAACAGCAGCAAAGCTGGGAACAGTTTCAACCACCCGGCTACCTGCAAAACATCTCAACATTTGTCGGCTGAGGTTGGCTGCTGGATTTCTCAGCACACCCTTCGGAGGCCAACAGCTGTCTGCAAGGTCAGCATGGTGGAGGCAGGAATGGCTGACCTCAGGGGCTGATTCTGCAGTTCCTTATATTCTCTATCATAGTCTCCACCATCCCCCCACTACCGATATTTTCTTGCCCCAGGCATATTCTCCCTGGCCCTATTCATCCTCACCACCCCCCCCCCAGGGGGCACCACCTGTCACATCCTTTGGCTCCAGCCTTGCCCTTCACTCCCTGGTTATAATTTAACTCTAGCAATGACCCAATAGGACATGTTCTTACCTCTTCTGTTAGAGACAAGGAAACCAGGCTCAGAGACTCGAGTAACTTTCCCAAGATCCTGTGCTGGTAAACGAAAGATTCATACAACCTGCTTCATTCAAAATCCACTCTTTGCATGTTGAGTTGGGAAAGAATGTGGTTACATACAGAGGAAACAAGAAGGCTCATTCATTGGTTAACAGGAAGGGAAAAGCTTCTCTGCTAGGTCCCTTCAACTGCTTAAGGATTGAGACCAAGAAAGGCAGCCCTGATTACTCCCAGGAAGGGGTGGGGGCAGCTGCCATAAACTTGAGCAAGAGCCCTTAGCATTTACTCCCCCCCACAGATATCTTCACCACCCTTCCTCCCTACCTCTCCCAACTTCCCAAATAATAACCACAAGGAAAAATACCACCCTTCCCCCATCACACCTCCTCCTTCACACACACACACACACTCGGACACACCCTTTTGACCCATTTGATGGGGTGGAGTTGTCACTGGAGAGTAGAGGAGCCATTGGAAGTGAGACCTACTCAGTCTTCCATGAATCAATCAACTGCATGTTTTGCAGAGCATTTCCCTCCACAAAGAGTGCCTATTTGACATAACAAAATGGAGGAGTACACACCTGAAAGAGCTCGGGACTTTCCCCCTTTGGGTGTAAGGAATGCGTATTGACTCTGGAGCTAGAGGGCAAGATCAATATCTTTCACTCCCTATTGCATGGCTGAAAAGAAGAATTGGAAAATGGGTGGTTTTAAGAACACACAAAACCTTTGATTTGATACTTGAGGCTTTGGGCATGCAGCTAGACTGAGGTGCCACTTCATGAGCAGGTTCATGGGCAGGAGGGGACACCAGCTCAATTTTCATCTGCCCAGATGATATTTGGGAAATATATACCCTCTCACAGTCCCCCGTTATCACTCAGCTATCAACTGAACCAGAAACAAACTGCTTTAGTGCTCATTCCTGTCCCTTGTCCCCTTACACCTGCTACTCAAGGTGTGACCCACAGATCA